AAACCCCAAGCCCTGAAGCCCTAGACCCTAAGCCCCAAAACCCCAAAAACCCTAAAGCCCTAAAGCGTAAAACCCTCAAGCCTTAAATACGAAACCCTAAAAACACCCTAAAAACGCCAAAACAACCCCAACAAAAACCCTATTTTTTAAAAAAACCTATAACTTCCTTCAAAAGGAAACCCCCCGAGCCTCCCTTACCGCCGCTGACGAGAGCCCGGTGGAAGTCTTGGAGGATCTGCGGATTGGATTCGTAGATCTGGTTCATCTGCTTGAGGTTCTCTTCCTCAGAGTCACCGTTTAGGGCTTTAGGGTTTTAGGGCTTCAGGGCTTTAGGGTTTTAGGGTTTAGAGTCTAGGGTTTATGCTTTAAGACTTTAGGGCTTTAGGGTTTTAGGGTTTCGGGTTGAAGATCCAGGGTGAGTCAAGGCTGCGAAACTATAAAACGGATGGATCCACCTTGAGGGGCTTGGGCTCCAATGTAGCATAGGGTTTTTGGGGGACATTCTACTGTAACTGTAACTCGAAAATCGCTATAAAAGAGAAACCCCCCATATTGTATTGGTATGTATTGCTGACTCTTTTCAAGCCCCTAAACCCTAAACCCTAAACCCCTAAACCCTAAACCCTAAATTTCCAAGGTTTGTCCTGCGAAGCCTCTGTTCGCAAGACGACTGCACGAGCCCGTCAAGGCAAGACGCAGCAAAGAACCCATGGGCCTCTAGGGTTTAGGGTTTAGGGCTTAGGGCCAAAACCCCACAACAATACGACAAAGAGATGCTGCGACAGCCACCCAGATGATGCTGAGACGCTCACTAGCTCGAGGGTCGAATTCAAACTTCAACTGCGGTGGAAGAAGATAATAGTGCTGATCATGACGATGATGAATGTTGCGATTATTACGGTTGCTCCAGCTTTCATACAAGTATGAGTACAAACATATAGACACAAGAACCCGATTTGCTACAGCTGCAGCAACAACGCTGACGGCTCCTAAACCCCAACACCCGCAAACCCTTAATCCCAAATCCATAAAAAATCTAAACCCTAAACCCTAAACCCTTAATCCCAAACCCACAAGAATCCCCTAAACCCTAGCCCCTAAGAATCCTCAGCCCCTACGCCCAGAACAGCTAACCCTACAAGCCCTTCTTGGTCCCTTCTACAGGAACCCTTGCAGTTTCCATTTTAAGGACGGAACCAGGAACCTTAGGCCTAGACATTAGGGACGATTTGGGACTTTCCGAAAATTAGGGGTACCTTATTTTGGGGTCCTTATAATAAGGATCCTACTATTTAGGGTACTATATTAGGGTCCCGTATTTTCGGAAACCCCCATTTGCGTGTAGCCGAGTGTCCAGTGTGTTTCGCAGCTCCTGCTGCTCTGGGATGCTCTTCTTCTTACTCTCGAGCATCGCCTTGACGACGAGTTTCGACACACCCCAAACCCCGAGGTCTTGGGGCTTAAACCCTACCTATAGTTTCCATTGTAATTCCTTTTTGTATAAAATCCTTAAGGTACAATTGGTTAAACCAAAAAAGGAACTACAACGGAGACTGCAGGTAAACCCTCAAACCGTTTATTCTCTAGGGGTTCATGAGGGTCCCAGGGTTTTAGAGAGGTCTCGGGCGGAAGGCCTTTCAGGGCTTCGGGCTTGGTTTCCGGCCTAGGCCCAGGCTTAGGACTCATAAAACGGCGTGTCAAAGTAGGACCTTCGATCCCTCCTGTACATGGCGGTTTCAGAAAGCAAGTGGACTTACGATAAAACCCTACACCCTAAACCCTAAACCTACATACCGAGATGCTTCTTATAAGGACCCCACTAACAAAACAAGTGCAAGGCTACCCGAGTTTTCACTCTCCCTGCGGCCGATCCTTGGGGAATAAGCGTTTTCAAGAATAGGGTGTTAGACAGCAGCCCGTAAGTCCGTCTAGGGTTGTGTGGTTGAGGGATGATCTGGAGGCTCGTTTTTCTTCTTAGGGGCCGAAGTTAGGAAGCTAGATTAAGGACCGGGGGTGTCTTAATTAACTAGGGTGCTGATCCTGATAACAAGACGGAGCCTGTCCAGAGCAGAGGGCCGAGCCGTCGGCACCGGCGTATATACCCAGAGAGCCAAACGATCCCTGAATCAAGCAAGATACCTTAAATAAAGTACAGGACTATTCTTCAATAATAGTCCTGTATACTTTAAGGTATCTTGCTTAATAATTATTGTCAGAACTGGCATCAGGGATCGTCCCGAAGTAAGGAGCACTCGCTCTGCCAGCGGATGGGTCATGTCTTCAGCTCTTTCAGAACATGTCTTCCGAAAACGACCCTAAGCCCCAAGTCCAAAACCTTAGCCCTAAACACCCAGCGCGAAACACCCAGCGCGACAAACAAGCCCTAGTTCAGCCCCACACCCTAGTATTTGTAATGGATCCAGGAGGATGGCCGAAACTCCGGTTTCTGTCTGAGCTCATGGCTGTGTTCATTGACTTCTCCCACTCCTCAGCCACGACTTATCTTTCCAAAAGGCTGAGACGGTTTTATTCTTGTAATTTGTTTTTTTCTATGGTCTCATGTGGTTTCATCAAACAGGTGTTATACCGTCTTTGCGTTGAGGATTCAGGCGTGGTCTAGGATCCAAGCCACCTTTGGAATCGAACACCCTGCTTTTGAGGAATAAGGCTCCCCTGAAACATGCAAATAGCTTTTCGGGCCCCTCGGCACCTACAAAAAACCCTAAACCCCTTCCCGCTATAAAACCCTGAACCCTTCCTACTCAACCCCCCACAAGTTGAAGATCTAAGGCTCGCTGTCTTGGACCCCTCGGGCCGTAGCCGTGGTTCTGGGTTTGTCTGGCTCCCTGTAAGGGAGGTAGAATTAACACAATGATCAGTTGCTAATTGTCGGTTTTTTTGACCTGTTGGGGTTATATTACAAAATCATCCGTTTCTTATCCTTAACCCTAAACCCTAAAACTAAACCCTAAACCCTATAACAAGAATGTAAACTTGTATCCAACAAGGACCCAGTTCTGGCTTTCAGGGCTTCCGAGTTTCCAGGGCTTCGGCTAATAGGGGTTTATAGGGCCGAAAGGGCTTATAGACTTATAGGGGTTTAGAGGGTTTTTAGGGGTTAATAGGGCTTATAGGGTTTTGAGGGGTTTATAGGGTTTAGGGTTTATAGGGCTTATAGGGTTTTTAGGGGTTTATAGGGTCTAGGGTTTATAGGGTGTAGGTTTGGGATCAAATAGCTTGAGACCCAATCACTCGGGTCTAGATTAAAGGAAACTGCAGGTGGGGAGTTTAGGGTATATAGGGCTGCTATATAGGCTTTTTTTAAGGGTATATAGACCTTCTATTGGGCTCCTATAACTATAACGGCAACTACCCACCTGAAAATGTCCTAGACTAGAGCCAAGCATCCTTTCTCATCTGGGGAGTCTGGGCCAACATGTCTTGGACAACCGGATTCAGCCGCTTGAAGAGCGTCCTGAGACATTTTTATACAGGGGTTTCAGAGAGCTTTGGGCTTTGGAATGGCGTTCAAAAGGGCCTTGTATCTACAAGGGCTGCAACCGGATCTCGTAGAGATGTTATGCGTTAAGGCTAGGGTTCTTTCAACATTTTTGTGGCTTTGATAAACGTGTTCAAAATCGGCCTTAGTTCGAGGAGTCTCGCCGTCTCTGACTACGCGTACTATGAGCAACGCGACCACTGTAATATACGGTGGCCTGACTAACAGGGAGGGGTTTTGTAGGTGCTTTGGGGCTAGCCTTTCACAAGACAAGAAAATAACAGGGGCATAATGGGCCTTGGCGGAAAATATTGGCATTTAGGATTTACGCCCAGAACTCCATTAGCAGCACTAGCGGAACTTGTGTTCGATGCCTTTGTGTTCAAGCGCACACGGTTCATCACATGGTTCATTGATGGTTAGTGTGACACCTTACATGTGTTTGCTTCAGGGCTTGTCCTCTACCCATAGGCCCCTAAGTAGTTCCTTTTTGGGATCACCTTATAGGATTCTAAATATAAGCCATAAAAAGGAACTACTTAGGGGCCTATGGGTAACTTGAGGCTGAAGCTGCTGATGCCGTCAAGTTCATGTTTGGGAACCCTGAGAAAAGCTCCGTCTGCCAGCCCAACTTTGGCCCCAAATGAAATTGAATGCAATAATGGAACCCTGCACCCTCCCAGAGAGCCCAATACCCCTTAAATAAGCAATATACCTCAAACTATAGGGGGCTTAATATTATGATTTAAGGTATATTCCTTGTTTAAGGGGTATTGGGCGTAAACTCTCCACACCTAAAGCATCCTTGGAGGCCCTCAATGCCTCAACCCTTAACATTCCGCCACGAAATCCTTCAATAGAGAGGTTCGAGGAGTTTGGCGTTTGAGTGCACACATATGTACATAGAGGTTCGGGGAACGTAGCAAGTAAGGTTTAAAGTGCGGAGAGTAATTACGTTTCACAAGGTGCCCTGGTGCTTGAAGTAAACTCTGAACCCCTGTGCAGACTCTGCAAAGACTTTAATCCAACCTGACAAACCCTGTAATACCTTACATTCTAACCTTGCTGACTGAGTGCCCTAAAGCCCTCTTCAAGCCCTTCTAAGTAACCCTCAAACAAGCCCTAGATAGCTGCCCTACACCCTATTTGGGATTCATTCTTTACTTCAGTGGTGCTCCCTATCTCTTCCAGCTCTAAACATCGAGACCCGTCGCGACGCTACAGTCCGGGGTAAGGGGGTTTCGGGTTGCCGAACCCATAGCCTTCAATCCTGAACACTCCAGCGCAGCACCGGAAAGCTTCGCCAAACCCTAAAAGAACCTCAAACCTTCAACTCTGAATCCTCATCGAACTTTGGACGGTTTAGGGTTTAGGGTCTAGGGTACTTTATAGGAAACCTGTTTTTAAATCCGACAGAAAAGATGTCATCGTACCCTACCATTCCAGGGAAGCCGAAGTGCGCCGTCGTGACGCCGTCCCAGGGACTCTTTGGCGCTACCACGGGTCCTTCGTTGCGACAGGTTCGGGGTGAATATGGGGGCTAAGAACAAGCAGTACCTAAACCCTAAACCCCAAACCCCCAAGAAACCCTAAACCCTAAACCCTCAAGAAACCCCAAACCCTAAACCCTCAAGAGGTGTGCTGTACGACCATATGTAAGCCGAAACCCAAGTCTAATCCTGGAGGTCCCTTTGTATTGAGGTTGTTATGGTTCGCCCTAAACCCTAAACCCTAAACGCTAAACCCTAAACGCTAAACTCTTAATGTAGGAACATGAATAAGAAACCCTGGTCCGATAACCCCCCCCCCAAAAAAAAAAATGGGATCCATATAAAGATCCCTAATAAAGACCCAAGGGTTCTTAATCGGGTTCCTATATGGGGGTTTCGCAAAATAGGGGACCCTAATATAGTACCTTAAATAGTAGGAACCTTGCTATAAGCACCCCAAAGTAAGGTACCCCTAATTTCCGGGAAAGTCCCATATTAGTAGGGCTTGAGGGAGGTTTTCAACCTCAAGCCCGAACTTTCAAACCAGGGATGACACTGACCAAGCCGGGTTTAGGGTTGAGGGGTTTAGGGGTTTAGGGTTTTAGGATTTAGGGGTTTAGGGGTGTAGGGGTTTATGGTTTTAGGGGTTTAGGGTTTAGGGTGTAGGGCTTACAAACCGCTGAGGCCCTGCCCTGGAAGACAGCGGGGGCCCTTCGGTCTTGACTTTGTCAAGGGTTCTTCTACTCCCTGGGGCTCCAAATAGCCCAAAGCAGGTACTTCCCGAAGGCTGAAAATAGCCCAAAGGCCTTATATAGTATGGTCTTTGGGCCCAAAAGCCCTATAATACGAGTCCTTAGAGCCTTGGGGTATTTAAAGACGTTAGATCCCAAAGTAGGTACTACTTGTGTACTTGAGACTTGGCTCCATCTGACGTGAAGGCCGTCAGCAGCGACTGCACGAAGCCTCCCAAGCCACAAGGGGATCAGGGGTTTAGGGCTGTAGGTTTTGGGCCCTGCCTAGGCCCTCAGGCTTTGACTCGGCCGGCACCCTCAGAGACTCCTCTCGGACCCTTGCAGAACCCTTATACCGGGTTCTTGTTAAGGGATTTTGTTTAAGTTGCCATAATAGGGATCTATAGTAAATAATATGCTTTCCTTATTATGGTAACTTAAATGAGATCCCCTAACAAGAGCTGAGACCCTGATAGAACTCTGGTAGTTACATGAGCCCTTGAAGACCCCTGAGAGATTCGAGGGCAGCTGCCTTTTGTCATGGCTCAGCTTGCCCCCCTGACCTGCATGCGTGGCACACGAGGGAGATCTGATAGAAGGCAGGGTTTGCTAGGATTGGTTTGTTTTGGGGGGGAGGGAGGGTAGGAGAAGGGGGTCAGGGTTTTAGTAACCTCATCCCTAAACCCTAAACCGTAAACCCTACAAACAGCGTAGTTACGTCAATTCTTGGCCCGGCGTTTGGCTCAAACCTGGGGCAGCTTTCGGTCTACCACTGGAGTTCGACACCCGGTTTGGTGCCTGAAGCTAGAGGGTATCAGGGTAGTACTGTAGGGTGTAAAGGGGCCTCATATGAGAGGTATGCCAACACAGGCTTTAGCAGGGTGTTCTGGGGTTTTTACAGGGTCTTTTGAAGGTTGTATACGGGCTGCGGAGCAAATCGCAAACGGGACCCTTCCAGTAGGCCTGAAGCCTCTACAACTGTCAAGCCGAGGAGATTTTAACCTTGGGTAAAACCCGCTTACAGTACCAATCCCAAATGAGGGACTCGTGCATATGTATACAGAGGGCGCATAGAAATACGATGCGAACGATGCAATGAAAAGTAGAAAAAATGCTCGCCCGCGCTGAACCGCATAAGAACATCAACTCAGCCACACATACACATGAACATACCGGTGAAAAAACAACGTAGCGGTAAGTAGCAAGACTCAAAGTACTCATCATCATGATAACAAAAGGCAAAAGTAACACTAATAGTGAGTAATAGCAAGCAGTGACTTCAACATAACCATCATCACGATGCTGTTGCAAGCAGCAGCCATCATAGCAACTTCTATTGAAGCAGCACTGTCATTGTACAGAAACTACCGGTATCAATACTAAAGTCATCAAAAACTTATGCACGGCCTTCAGCACCGAAAGCAAAGTCCCTCCCATCCCGGCACTGACCTGCTCCCTTCTGGGGCTCTTCGCGCGCGCTCCCCCCAAAGGATGAGGATGTTTAACGGCGGCCGGCAGTGCATGGTTTAGGGTTTAAAGGGTATGGTCGTACAGGGTTGAGAACGATGTCGGAGGTCTCTCGCAATTTCACTGACATTAATTAACCCTGAAATGTTGATCTTGACGGCGACTCGGGCCGTCGTCAGAAAATGTGTGGAAGAGGCCTTGGGCAAATTCCCAAGACTGGCAGTGAGAGTCATGGTATGTACAATAAGTGAACAAGAGCAGGAGGATAACTAGGGTAGCTTTAGGATATAGGTCCTATAGGTATACCTCCTCATATGCCCAAATTATACTTATAATAGGCCTAATTACTTCGAATATCCCCTGAGCAAGTCAGTTGTCCTGAACCCGGCACCTGGGTAGCATGCAGACTTCGCTTGCTGAGAGTAAACTTCATGTCCGGGACGCCTAAAGCCTTAACCCTTGTAATAGAAGGGCCCAAACCCCATTCTACTTATTCAGGCCCTTACAGTACAACCGACCCTCTAATTGCCTCTGTTGTTGACATGCACCCTGTGAACGTGCCCCTCGCACGGTTTAGTGACTGTTTGCGGTTGCGGGCGCGGGCATCAGGGTTTCTTACATGATGTATAATGGCTCTACGAAGGTCCTATAGAGGCTGAAATGGCAACAACAGCTTCAAAACACACACTTTGCGAACCCAAATGTGCGTCGACCGCCTCGTCGTTTACTACACGAGCCTTTGGGTGCCTGGCTGAAGGATTCGGAAGTTCCGAAAAGCAAGGGACCATTGTCGAGGCCCAGGTTTTAAGATCCTCATGTCATGTAAAAGCCGCTAAGATCACCCGTACAACCCCAAAGAAGCTGTCCCTAGTTTTAAACACCCACCCGATGCTTTTGTAGCCGCAGGTCTTCTCCGGCAACGTCTGTGAAACGTTGGGATGCACACCAGCATGACTAGCCTCTAGCACCCGTAGTAATAGTGGCCTGAAATCCTCCACCTGCACCCAGAAGTGAAATAATCGTACGACGACGCTACGACGAAGTCGACTGATGCTGCTACTGCTACTGTTCCGGCGCTGCTGGTGCAGCTGGTGCTGCGGGTGCTGCTGGCGCCGGTACTATGACTACTAAATTATTACTCCTACCCTTCTGGTCGGGGGTGGTGGCAGCATTTACAGGCACTACCCCGCACGTCAAGGGAATGCTGATTGAGTCTGCGCAGCCAACAGGGGATCAGCTGAGTTTCTTTTTTCCTTTTGTCTTGCAGCTGGTGCGTATGTGCGTGTTTGGTTCGGCCACCCCGTACCCCAAGCCCTTTCTCCGAGCCAGTGCCCCCAGCTTAGCACCCGTGTGAGGGATCACAGGGGGAACAGTTTCTGTTCCTGAGGGCTGTCCTGCCAAGTACCCAAATCCAACCCAGGCCGCGCTGCTTGAGGGGGCGGGCCCATGGAGGTTCGGCTGGCACTTTTCCCTGCTTGGATTGAGGGGCGCGGGGCGTCGAACTCTTGCCAAATCTCCCCGATGACGAAAACGGAGGGGGCAAGAGATGCCGGGAGGGAACGTTTCCGTTCTGCCGGAGTGCACCCCAGGCCATCCGCTCGCTCACTCACTCACTCACTCACTCGTACTCCTACTTCCACTTCCACTTCTACTTCTNNCTGCTTCTGCTGCTGCTGCTACTTCTCCATCTACTTCTTGTTCTACTTCTACCACTACATATAATTCTACTTCTACTTCTACTTAGTTACTTCTAATTCTACTTCTAGTTTTACTTCTTCGTCTGCTACTTCTACTTCTTCTAAAACTGCTATTGCTGCTGCCACTACCATTACTGCTGCTGCTGCT